ATTTAAACCTGAGGAAGCTGTCTCTCTGGCTGACCACAGACAGATGACAAAGAGCCCGCTGTGCATCCGTCAGGAGCACAGCAAGAGCAAAGGCCCGAGAGGAAGACCTGAGTTTGGAATGTTTGCAGCTGGAACTTCATAATGGGAAGCACAGGTTAAGTTCAGAAAGGGAGAGGCCAGATCCACAGGGCCCTACAGGCTAGAGAAGGAGTTTGGGTTATAATGATACAACATCCACGGGTGGTTGTGAGGATTAAGTGAGACACCCAATGGCAAACTATAAGCAGCTGCTTAAAATATCAGCTTTTATTCTCACCAGGATAACGGTAGAACCTTTCATGTCTTGGGTGGGAACTGACGCTAGAGGATGATCAAGTTTCAAAATAAGAGATCATTTTTCTAATAACATTCCTTTTTCACATGGGTGAATTAAAAATCATAGATTACAAGCAGATGTACAGACATCACACAGGAGTTAGCGGGGAAACCTCCGGGCTCACCAATCTCTACCCACTGTCCTTTGGGGTCCTGGAATCAAGCCCGCCCACGAGGTCTAAGGAGAAATTGCTTGGCCACTATTCTGCCAATGCTGGGTGAGTCCTCCTCCTAGGGGACAGTGTGAGGTGACGGATAAACACTGAACCCCTGAGCCTCACGGGGACCTCAGACAATAGTCTTCCTCTCCCTGCCCAATTCTGTCCTCCTGGGGACAATGGCTGTGCTTTGGTTGGGGAGCTGGGACAAAGGACAGGGTATCAGTCAGCAGGGGCCTAGGGCAGCCTGGCCTCTTCAGTATTCCATACTGAAGAACTGAAGAGGTTGGAGAAGAGGCGAAGGGCAGAGGGTGTTTCTGCAATTAAACAGGATGGGCCTGCCTCGGTTAATTTTGAGTGAGACGTCACATGAAAAATGGTTTGTATTGGCCATGTCCCTCATGGGCTTGGGAGTTTTCCTTATTCTGTATCCTAAACCCCAGCTGGACTTTCTTCTGTGTCTAGATATAAGTACACTTGATAAACCCTACTAGAGAAGAGTTGTTTATGGCATCTGGGCTTTGTTTCTCACTTACAATCTGTATACTTTTGTACACAATTGCCTGTTTACTGAACACCTACTACAGAATGGGCAGTTAGTTTCGCATGGAACATGAGTCTCCTCTTACCATTCCAAGAACTCCAGGGAGTAGTTACTAACATCCCTCCCTTCATACAGGCTAGGAAACTGAAGTTTACAGGTGATACGTCGAGGAGGGAGCTCTGACGCAAACTCAGGCATATCTGACTCTAAGTAAACCTGCTGATCCCAAAGAACATGGGTGCTCATGAAAGTCTTACAATAGCTCATGGGTGTCTTTTGCAGATATAGGCTATTCGTTATGGACTGAAAAATGTGCATGCCACCATATGTGCCAACTGAGTATATAAATATACACAGTATCTTTAATTGATTTTGTTGTCGCTGTTGAGACCCAAAAACATAAACCCAGGGAGCTCTCACAGCTGGGTTTGCAGGCACTTGACTGTGGGGTCCCCTCAGATCCTACGTGTTTGTCCCTGCCTTTCAGCCTCCTTAGCATTTCTGCCAGTGCACTGGTTTTTCGCCTCATCTGGCCAGACCAGCCCCTGCAGGATGCAAGTCCATCATGCGGGCTCGCTTTGTGTTCTGTAAACTTTCAATTTGAAAATAAAGGCATTGTCTCCCTGTCAATTTTCAGCTGTGCATGGGTATTTCTCAAGAGCCAGGGCAGGTGGGATAGACAGATCAAGCATTTCCAAGGAAACCAAAGAAGCATGACTGCTTCTTTCTGAGTAATATGTACACGCCGATGGGGGTGGCTGTGTCAAAGTGGATCATTCCCTTGTTAGCAGCTGGCCAGGGTGGCGTGATGGCCTCAGGGTTCCTAAATAGGACGGACTGCATAGGCCAGGCTCATCTGCAAGTTCTGAAGCGCAGGCTGACAACACATGATGACATGCTGGTTGCACGCTCTGCCTGCCCTTCAAAGACCCAGGGCGGATTTCTCCTGGGCCATCCTATTGCTGGGACATTTTTTAAAAAATTCTCTTCTTCTCTTTTAAGATGTCTCCTTTTGTACTTCATTTTTATTCCAAGACAAAAGATTTTTTTCTCTCTCTCTATCTTTTTTTTTTTTTCCCTGTGATACAAACCTTCCTGGCACCAGATGTTCCTGGGAGAGAAATGTGATGCTGGCTTTGGGTGGGGCAGAAGTATGAATAAAATCGAAACTTCCAGTATTGTATGCTGATGGATGGAGAGCGTAATTACTGAGGACAGACTTCCTGGTGAACTCAAAATCAAGCCCTGGTTAATTATGATCTGTGTAGACAGAGAGCAGCACAACAGATACGGATGACAATGGCTACCATTTAGCGCACCAGCCCTCCTTCGGCCCCAGACACCGGCACTTGCTGGGCGCTCTACCAGGAACGTGCTCTGCCCCAGTTCTTCGCCTGTTACCTCCGTCTCCCCTTTCGCTTCTCTGTTTAAAAGTCTTCTAGTCTGCAAGCCCTGATCATTCAAAAACAGTTTGCCTCCTTTACTCTCAAATCATCCTAAAGTTCTCTGAAATTCTTACCTACTAAAGCATTTACTGTGTATCTCTTACCTGTACAAGGTAAATTCCAGAGAGCAAGGACTTTGTCTTGTTCACTCATGTGTCCCCAGTGCCCAGAGAGAGCAGTGCCTGGCACATGACAGGTGCTCAAAAAACATTTGTTGGAAGGATGGATGAATAGATGGATTGATGGATAGATGTTTGGATGGACGGACAAACGGAGGGAGAGTTTACTGTATACTATGTATACTACCCTGAATGCTTGTAATATATAATTGTCTCCTTTAATCTAAATGACAGCCTTTCATTAAAACAGTTTAAGGGAGGTTAAGTCAATTGTTCAAGATCATACAGCTGTTTGGAGAAAAACAATTCAAATTCAAGTCTGTCAGGTTTCGAAGTCCACTTTTAATCACTCCGCTATACTGCTTCCCCGGTGTGGAAAGGATTTGGGCACTCATGTTGCCAGATCTCCCCGGACTCTCAGATCTAGAGAGCAAGAGACAGGGTTTGCTACATCCACCGCACCTAGCACAGAGTTTGGCACCTAGTAGCCATGTGATAAATAGTGGCTGCTCAAACAATATTTGTAGACAGATTGGGTAGAAAGATGAGTAGGTAGGGGGGTGGGTGAGTGGGTGGGTGGATGGATGGATGGATGGATGGATGGAATAACCCTAGAGAGCCTGGTGACAGCCCATCAGCATGGAGGGATCACAAGCACAAGCCCCAACCAGGGACCTGGCTGCAACCCAGCCATGTGCCCTGACCGGGAATAGAACCGGCAACCTTTCGTTTTGTGGGACAACGCTCAACCAACTGAGCCATGCTGTCAGGGCAGCTGCCTCTTTCTAAAATGCAATTGGCTTTACTGGCCGGGAATGGAAACTTCTTAGAGCCAAGCACTGGTTTTTACTGGGGGCTCTCTGTCCCCCAGAACCTAATTCAAGTCTGGACTTGCGGGGAGTACCTTGTAAAAGAGCACTGAATGAATACATGAATGAGGAAGCTGTGGGTGGGGGTGAGGAGGTCTTTAGATTCTCTGGCCCAAAGTGCTTCCCCTCCTCCCCTGTCCTCCTGCACCCAATCCTCCCCTCCCCTCACCCAGTCTTTACAGGGACTCCCAGCTCCACCTCCCCGCTAAGGACTGCTGCTGCTGCTGCAGCCTTCTCTCCATCTGCTCCCCCGCCTGCTCAGGCTGCAGTGTGGAGCGAGTGTGGCAAGGTAGAGTTGGTGGGGGAGAGAGAGAAGGCTTCTAATTGGGAGGAGAGACCTGGAAAGCTGGCCAGCTTTGCAAAGGTAGTCCCCACACTCAGTCTCCAAGCCTGTCCCCATCTAGCTCTTGGCTAATGTCTGTCCCCAAGCATCTGCCTGTCTCCCTCATCTATCGTACCCGCCCCCCCATACTTCCATTTGTAGAGAACAGTTGCTGAGGACCATGGCTGGGCACCAGCGCTGCAGGTGGGGGGGTGGAGTCCTTGAACTCCAGCTCACATCTGGGAAGTGGGTGTAGCAGGGGCCAGGACTGAGCAGAGAGGAAGCCTTGGCTGGCTCTGCTGCCCCACTGGCAGTGGGGATGTGAAAGGTGGCACTCAGATTAGAACATAGATACATTTTCACTTACAGTCTCTGGCTGGGCTTCAGAGGGGTAAGCAGCCCTCAGGTATTGGATGCACAGTTTTGTGGCCATTTGTAGTGTTCAAGGGAGACTGACAGCTCTTAGGAGATACATAGAGTTTGAGATTTTCTAGATTATGGGGACTCACTTCGGAAACACGGGAGGGCTGGCAGGGAAGAGGGGCCCAACAGGGCCTGGGAGAGCTGAAATACAGCGGAGGGAACAGGACTTGGCGTCCATCTGGAAGGCTGGACAACGATAAGCTCTAGGCTGCTTCCAGGCTGAAGGATGCGCTGGGTGCTGCGGCCTTCAGCTCACCGTCTGGAAAATGGTCCGGACGCTCCCCAGCCTCGCCTCGCCAGTGCAGGGCTTCTGTGAGCATCCCCTGAGAAGCGACGCTCAGCGACGAGAACGAGGACGCAGGGGGAATCAGCGTTAAACTTTGCAGGGCCGACGGGGCCGGCGGCCAGAGGCGGAGGCGGGCACCCAGGGCGGCGGCCCCTCTCCCTCGCCGCCAGCCCCCTCCCTCCCTGCGCTCGCTCCGTCCCAGCCCCCTCCCTCCTCCCGCTCGCGCCTCGCTCGCTCGCTGGCTCGCCGGCTCCTCCTCACTCGCCCGCCCGCGCCCGGCGCAGCTCGGCCAGAGCGATCGCAGGGCTGAGCGCGCGTCCGCCCGGGGGCTCCGGCGGCTGCCCCGGCCCGCGGCCCCCTCCCTCGCTCCCGCCTTCCCTGTCTCGCTCGCTGCCTCCCTCCCTCTCTTCTCGCCCGGCTCCCGCGCTGTCCGCCCGCCCTGCAGCCCGGGCTCCGCGCCCCCCCGCCCCGCAGCCACGATGCCAGCGGCCCGGCAGCCCGCCGTGGGACTCGGCGGGATCTCCCTTCTCCTCGCTCTGCTCCTGGGGAGCCCCGCGGCCGCTCTGGAGGGAGGTGAGCGCCAGGAGGGGTGGGGCGGGGGAGGGGGCAAAGTTGTAGTGAGTGTGGGGCAGTTAGGGGTCCTGGCTGCCCAGGGCCAGTCTCGCACTACCCGCCGGGATGGGGAGTGGGGTGGCTGCCCGGATTCGGGGCAAGGACCCGCGTCCCTTTGACCCGGCTAATGGGAGCGTGGAGGTGGGGATGTGTCTGCAGGACTCCGGCGCTTCCCTGCTTCGGTTGTGGGCTCCCTTTCGGTCTCCCCGGCTGTGGGGGCTGACTCCCCTTTGCAGCGCCAGAGAATCTCCTTGGAGTGGGGTAGCCTCCAAACCCCAGATTCCCGGAGCTCCCTGCAACCGCACCCGGGGCTGGGTGCCAGATAATTCTCACCCTTCCTGGGAGAGGATGAGAAGGGGGGCCACTGGTCCGCCCTGAAACTGAAGACTGGACTCCAACAGTGCGTCTGGGGGGCGTCACTGGGGAGCTCCCTCCCACTCCGGGACCTCTCGCCTTCGCGTGGTTCAGGTGGCCCCAGGGACTCGGTTTTAGGACGGATCTCAACCAAGTGTCTGGAAGCTAAAGTTGGGTGTGGCTTTTGCCTAAGGGCCACTTGAAGGGGCTCAGGGTTCTCAGAACTGGCAGGGGTGGGGCAGAGAGGAGATGTTAGGTCACAGTCAGGAAGCTGAGCGAGCTCCCCACTTCTTTCTCCCCCTGGCAGCCTAGCGTCTTTAAATGCTATTAATAATTGTGTGTGTTGGGGTGGGGGGGTGCTAGTTTCACCCACCACGTGCTTGGCCGTCCGGAAGGGGGATCCACGTTTAGTGGAGGATGGTGGCGGCTTCTTCCCAGACCTGGGGCTGCACCTCTTCTCCATCCCACTAAGGTACCCAAGAAAAAGTTGGGGAGAGGGGGTTGAGAAGGAGAGATGAGTACAGCGCCTAACTCACCCCCAGCTAACCCCATGAGCTTGGAGGGTTTGATCAGGTCACTAGGAGACACAAGAGCAGAGGGCAATGCTGGTAGACCATCCTGTCTCACCTTCTGAAAGACCCAACTCCCTTTCCCAGAAAAACGCTCCTCACGTGGGAAAAGCAGGTAGTGGCAGGGTCTGCCCAGGCTGAAGAAGTCGGAGGGCACACGCTCTACCCAGTCTCTGTTTTGAACCATCTTGGCCCGGAGTTGGGGACAGGCAGCACCCCTTCTTCCTGGCGAGTTCTGGACGCCTGCTGCGCTTGCCTGCTTTCAGCACCCATGGCCACGGACAGCTCTCGGCGACCAGGGCCCTAGCCCTGGGTCCCTTTCCCTTCAACGCTTCCCCAAGGCCTGGAGTGCCCTCCACAGCATAAATCAGGCATTTTATCCCCCACCCGCTTCTCTTGAAACGTGGAGGCTGGAATGCAGAGTGAAGAAAATAATTCATCACCTTTTGTTTAACAAAGCATATCATTAGAGCAGCCCCCCTCCCCCGCCCCCACTTGAGGCAATAATATCCACAATTGACACAAGGTCTGGACAGTTTCTCTGCGAAAGATGAGAGTAGAGAATTGGTTTGAATAAAACGTCTCCACCACAGCATCCCCTTCCTTAATTAGCTGTCTCCTTCCAACAATGGCTGGGTGGCTTTGAACAGTCCAGACCTCCCTCCCTCATTGCTCCCCACCTTTTGAGTCCATACTGTGACTGACACACACAGGAAGAACCTAAAGCTAACCAGTGGCTTGCTGGCTTCTCTAAAGCGATTCCGTCTCCGAGGACCAGACTCTTCAATACACCACCCTTCAGGAAAAATGTCTTACTGGCCCGTGTTGAATTGTTTTCCAAGACAAAGATTTCAATATCCTGTTTCCGTCACTGGCTTCAAACACAAAATGTGTGCATGCTAATTTTTAAGACATTTTATATTGTTTTTAATATAAAACATAGCCAACTCTGCACTATGGCAAGCCAGCATATTTCTTAATTAACTTCAGGCCACTGCCAAATGAAAGTCGGCCGATGTACTACTTCTGAAGGCTTGTTAATAACCATGTTGTTCTGACTCTGAGACTCTGAGTCATCAGGAGCGAGTGAGGGTAGCCAATGAGCACTGCCAATTCTGATGGTGCATTTGGAAACAACTGACCTTCCACAATAATTCTATTTTTACCATGGAGCCAAGCTCCACTGGTGTCAGATGGAGAGCCGTTCCTCTGATTCTCTGTTGTAAGCTAGCCATTCCATCGGCAGTGCAGTAAGAGAATTTGTATATACTTGAAAGGGACTTGTTGCTACATTCTCATGCAGGTCACGTGACTCTGGGCCATTTTGCTGTAAGGCATGAATAAGTATAAAGTGTAACTTGTTTTTGAAGAGGCTTCTTATTGTCTGAGATATGCACATGGGGAATAATTGCAACTACGTGCTAAGACTGCAGAGCCTGCATGTAATTTCTTTTCTTTTTCTCTTGAATTAATAAAGCAAATTGAATAGTGTTCAAATTTGCTGCTTCCTCTAGTCTCTAATGTGCGCTGCTGTTAGATTCACTTAAAGACCATTTTCATTACGGATTGGCGTTCTTTTCCACGGAGTTTCGGCTGTCGCTGCCAGGGACCACCTTATCTATCCTTGAGGGATTCTCCTTGTGTTCGCAGGGCGAGGCGAGGCATTAGAAAAATAATGCTGTAGTCCTTTCCTCTCTCTTCCAAAGGCACAAGGATGTTTCTTGATCAGAGTGGCTTGTTTTCTGGTTTCGCTCACAAGTTCATTCCTGCTGTTCGAAAAGCTACTTAAAGGAGCTCAGCGTCCTGGTCCTCATATTTGGTCCACAATTTCTGCAACACTCCAGTAGTGCAGACTGCCACTAGGGGCGCTCAACGCTATAGTTGGTGATTGAGGGCAGAAGAGTTGAACTCTGACCTTTGGAGCCCCTGAGGTGCGTGCAATGCCAAAGACGAGAGCGGCACGGAGCTCTCACAGTTTGGAGATGGCCCCACCGTTGCCTTTGCCCTCCCTCTCTCTGCTCAACCCAACGGATCCCTATTTCTCTGAGAGAAATTATTGATGACGTGACATACACTGTGAGAAGAGAAAGGAGAGGTGGAAAGACGGCAGGAGGGCGCTGGGAGAAAGGCATTGCTGGAAGACAGAGTTCAGCTGCCCTTTTTATACCGGTGTGTGTTTCCTTCACGGACCCAAATTCCAGAACACCAGAGAGGACTTGCAAGGCTGCTCTGGGGAGCTTGGCTGAGCTGGGCACTAGAATGCGAGTTCTGGGGTTCTGGTAAAGAGCTGTTGTGGTTTTGGAATCAGCATGATCTCAGTCCGGGTCCAGCTCCATTGTTTAGGACTGTGTGACATTCAGCGGGACTATCTTCTCTGAGCCTTCATCTCACCATCTGTGGAATGGGGGTGGGGTGACTGATGGTCCCGGGCGGAAGGGAAGGTTGTAATGATTACATAACACTTCCTTGTAAGGCGCCTGCCACGCAGTAGATGCTCAACTAATGTTTACTCCCATTTTGTCCCTGCTGGCCACAGAGCAAATCTCCCCTCTTCATAGGCGCCAAGGAAGCAAACGCCCGAAATTGGTATGAACCAGATGTTGCCGTGAATATCTGGATAATTTAGGCCAGAGTAGAAGGGGTGGCAATGGGATAAGTGAGTAGCTCCAGCACCTCCGTGCTGCCTGTAGCAGGTGAGAATTTTCCATTGCTGGGGGCAGACTACCTTCCTTTCCAAACTTTCACGCTGTATCTCTTTGAACCTCGATGTCACCATCAGGGAGCAGGGTTCACGGTACCAGGGATGGAGGATGGAAGGTTAATGGTTGGAAAGAAGGTGTTAGAAGAGAGTCTTCTGGAAATGACATCTACTCATTCCTTCATTTATTTAGCATTGGCTGAGCAGGCTGCCGGTCCCATGTTGGGTGCTGGAGACACAGAGTAATATGATGAGGTCCCTATAACAGTAAGGGCAGCCCAGCAAGGGAGAGCTGCAGGCGATCCCCCAGTGTCCACGCGGCATGATCCGCGCTTGGGAGGGCCATGCCAGAGCGCTATGGGCCCCCACAGGTGGGTGTGTTCAATTCCGGCCAGGGTGGCCAGCGACGGGTTTCCTGAGTTGGTAGCATTTGAGCTGGCCCTGAGGGATGTGACAGGGACCAGCAGCCAGAGGGGAGATTGCGGCAGTGGGGTAGTGAAGGTCCGGAAGAAGCTGTCGCTTTCAGAACGCGTCAGGCACCCATGGATTTGGAGGGAGGGGAGCAGCAGTGAGTGCGAGGGGAAGGTAGGCAGGCACACACGCTCATACCTGCAACCGTCCTCCAGACGTGCCCATTCTCTGCGCACCCCCTGGCCTTCGCGGGCTCAGAGCTGGAACAAAGGCCTGCGAGCCGCGGTGTTCACTGTCGTCCACTAGAGGTTGCGATGACACTGAAGGAGTCCTCTCTGAGACAGCCAGGCCCAGCCTCGGAGCAGAGACCACAGCAGCCAGGGCCCTGGGTAAACACCGCTTTACCGGATTTGCATATTTGCATAATCCTCTGGTTACTGTAGTTCCTCAGAAGCAGCCCTTTAGTGGTGGTGAAGGTAGGGGGTGGGGAAGAACAGGGCCACTTTTAGGGGACAATAAAAGGATGCTGAGTTCCAAGGAAGGGAGCCGACTGCGTAATTTACATTTGACCCCTGAACAACAGGGTGTTAGGGGGACTGACCACCCCACCCCCCTGCAGTCGAAAATCCAAGCATAACTTTTGACTTCCCCCAAACTTAACTTCTAAGAGTCAACTGATAATGACATAAACAGTCGATTAACACATATTTTGTATATGTATTATATACTGCATTCTTACAATAAAGTAAGTTTTAGATAAGAAAACATTCTTAAGAAAATCATAAGGAAGAAAAAATATATTTACAGTACTGTACATATTTGTTGGAAAAAATCCACATATAAGTGGACCCGCACTGTTCAAACTTCAGGGAGGTAGGTGCTGACGTGGGAGGCTGACAATCCCAAACACCCCCAAGTGCCTCTTCTGG